ATCCCAGAAGGGAGACTCTCGACGTGCAGTCACCACCTTCCCCTCAAAGTTAAAACCACTACTCTGACTTCTAACACCGCGGATAAGCTTTACCTGTTCTTGACATTAACGTAAATGGAATCAAAAGTCTGGCTTCTTCTACTAAACCTGATATTTCAGAGTAGATCCATTATAGAAATACATCTATGTCAATGTGTTCATTTATCTGTTGGTGATGGACATCTTATTCAAATGGGTCTTGGGATTCTTTCCAGTTTGAGGCCATTACTTCTCATGCTTCTAGAAGAAATGAAACCCCACCAGCACAATGATCAATAGCAACAACTTTATCCTGTGTTGGGGAGACTATAGGGAGTGGCAGAGACTGTGGTGAACTGGTTGGTGCTAGTCCAATATCATACAGGGAGCCAGTTCTCAGATCCAGTCCTTTGATACACAGGAGAGAATGGGGATATGAAGGGAGTGTGGCCAGATTGATTAATCTGAATAAAAGGTAAAAGAAAACTTACAATCTAAATGTTTCTATAAAATCTCCTAATTTCTAATGTTGGATTAATGTTTTAGGCTCAAATCCAAAGGCTCAGTCCAAAGCTTGCAGCCTCAGATATGAATATTCAGTCTTTAGAACTCCAAGTGGGGCATATCCCAGGTGACCGTCCCCTCAACCAAAACATCCTGTTTGAGAACCACAGAGAGTAGGTAAAAAAATTCTGCCCCCCTTCAGAATGAGAGAGAAACCGCATGTCATATTGAGATGTAAAAGGCCACTTTTGCTGCCAGTGGGGTTGCCCTGGATCTTGAAATAGAAGCTGACCCTCGGGCACCCCCTTTCCCACCCAAAATGCCTCCCTGTCCCCGTCTTCTTGACAGATCAGGTCAAAGTGGCACTATTTTGTCCTGATAATCCTTTGTGACCTTTCTGTAAGACTCTTAATTTTCTTCTTCAAGTTACAACCAGAGGTCAGAAAGTTTTGCATTAGGATCAAATATTCCATCACCTTTATCCCCCTGGAAGAGACAGTCTGATAGACAGTCACCATGCAGGAGGGCGCTGGTAGATGAAGCACGTCATTCTGAGACAGCCTTGGCAGCTCAGACTGTTTGACGCAGGCTCGCTGCTGGCGAAATAGATGTTCCTAACATTTCACATCTGTTGGTGGTAGTGATGGTGCAGTAAGGGTGAGGGAGGAGATTAAGTCATTTTTCAAAGTTCTAAGAAATGGTGTTCTAATGAGACCGACAGGAGAGAATTAAAGAAACTAAAGCAAAGGCTATCACAGTGCCAGCATCTATAAATTAGGCCTTCTTAAATTTTTCCGAAGGCAGCGGTTCTCAAATTTTCATAACTGTAAAAATCTCCTGGAAGGGTTTTTAAAAACATAAACTTCTTCTGCCAACCCCAGAGTTCCTGAGGGGGGGCTGGGGAAGAGAATTAGCCTTTGTAACAAGTTCCTAAGGGATGTTGATCTGTGGGCCTATCTACCCGGCTTTGACAATCACGGACCTTAAGGAGCCTTCACAATAAGTATCTGTAACGATTCCAAGCCATGCATATTTCAGTGAGTTAGACTTAATTAGAATTAGTTTGAATTTGTTCTGATGAAGTCTACAGAAACTTTTCACCACTGCATAAAGATGCATTATCTCTACCTAGACACCCAATACATGTTCTCGGGGCTACTGATCTGATGAGAATGCTGGCAGATACAAATGCTTTTCTATTTGCATTTTAATTATTTCAAAACTAATGCTCACAAATTTGTTCCCTTGTACAGCAATCACCTCCTCTATGATTCAAGGCTTATCAAAGCCACCCATTAATAAAATAGATCAACACAAAATGTTTTCAGGTAGGAAGCAAGTAAGGCTCCAGAGAATGATTCTCACAGCTTCAGAGAAAATAAACTGAGTAGAACCCTAGAACTGCCTCTCTGAACAATCAGCGATGGTTACTGAACACTAAAGGGAAGTAAAATGCCACGTTTTTGCATCGTTTCTGATGACCCGTGCTGGATCAGCCATTGTCACCTAACTACTTCTCCACAGCTTAGACTCCTCACCTGCTTCCCTTCAGGCTTTTCATAAACAAATGACCAGAAAGGTCTCTAAGGAGGGGAGAGGCCAGTTCCTCATTTCAGCTCCTATCAGTGTTGCTTGCACTCAGCCGGGCATGGCCCATTGTCCCAGGTGTGGCACCTGCTGCTCCCAGCCCTCGCCTGGCAGCTTGCTCTGTGCTTCTGCGGACTCTGGGGATGATCAGCGCCCATCTGGACCATGTCACATTCAGCCCCAGACCCTTCCACAGGTAGTCAAGGCAACTTTCAGCTGCTCTCTGGGTTTCCTCCTTGCGCTGTTTGTCCAGATCCTGTTGCTACCGGCTTCTCTCGGTCTCGTTTTGCTGGTCTTTCCAGGTCTAATTAGAATCAGTGAATCATTAATCCATGTGGTTTCATTTCTAGTAGAAGGAGATGGTTTCCCGAACAGTGTGGGTGGGGGCTTGCTGGATTCTTAAGGCTTGGGAGGTCAAAGGCTGGTGACTTTTCTTTACAATGATTATATATTGATTTAGTCTTTTCATCAGAAAGGAGAACAGGATGAACTGCCTGTCTCCTTACGGGAGCGATGAGGCGTAGTCATTCAGAGAGGGCCTCCCTGGAGCCTCAGCCATTATTTCATTTAATTCCTGCAATAAGCCCATGAGGGAGGCTTTGATGCCCTTTTTATAAATGCTGCCCAGAGGCTGGCAGAGAAGTGGCTTGTCCTCGGTCACACGGCGAGTTGGCAGTGAGACTGGGAGAGAAACCAGATCCGTTTACTCCGGCTCAGGCTCTTCATACCTCTCTGCAAACCTCCTCCCAAAGCCCTGCTGTATTTAAAGTTTCTCCGTGTCTGCGGTGAGTCACGTCAGCAGCTGCTATTTCTTGGTTCCAATGTTTACGATACGGACAAATAATACTTCATAACTTAAATCCTATTGGATATGAATAAACCTCCTACCAGACAACTAGAAAGGAAACTCAAAGGTGTATCCTACCCCCTCAAAAGAGGAGACAACAGTCCAAAAAGACAGACGAAGGATGCTGATCTGACCATTATGCAAATGCCTAGGTGAGCAGCTGGAATTTCTTTAACATTGTTGCTGCCTAAAACTTGGACAATCCTCTAAGAGAAAAAAATAACAGAAAGCCCGGGGCATATATCTGCATGAAAGTGCCTGTAACGCTGATGCTCAGCTCAGACACTTGTTTGTGGGGAGAATGAGGAACTGGCCCCTCCCCGAAGCAGCAGTGCAGAACTTTATCAGTGCTCGGAACAGACCTCCGCATTCTTCTCCAGCTAAGTTGACAGCAACCTCTAAAGCAGCAGCCAGAAATTACCCATCTAAAAACATGACTAGTTCAGCCTCACCTTAACTACAGGTAAGTCAGTGTTCCAGCTGGTACGACCCGCTGGCCTCCACCACCCCTGCCCAAGGATACCTGGTGCATTTCAGTTCTGTAACAAAAAATATTCAAGTCAAGCCAACATTAAGAATTTCAGATTTTTTTTGTACATTAGAGTTGTATTGACTTTAGTTGGTGTTTTTGAGCGACTTTCTGGGCTGAAGTCTGATACCAGCTAATTTCATTTGTACGTACACAAAATGAGAGAAGTAAATTCAAAAGAAGTAAGCATGAGAGGCAGAGAGTCCCCAAATCAACGTCATGTTACAACATTGGGCTCCTCCTCCTTACTGATAAGACTAAATCTAAGAGCCTATTGATTCTTTCTACATGAGGTTGTTAGACTTCTGTGTCTGAAACAGATTAAGAGAAACAAAGAGAGAATGGTTGCCAGGGGCAAGTACGCAGAATGTAATGGAAGGAATGAATAAAAATTAGGGAGTACGGTACCAGTGTGGGGCCATGCGGTGCGGGGGAAATTATCAGAAGCTATAGGAACACGGAATAGTCATTGTATTTGGCAGTGAACAACGGTAAGCATAGCAATCATCGTGCTGAAAGCACTGTGAGAGATAGTCCAGGTCAGGTCTCGAGGACAAGGTTTATTGGTATTCAGTAGTAAGAAGAAGTAAGTAAATGGTATACTCAAGGAAAGAGTTCTACTGAAAAGTGTTGTTAATGCAATTAACATTAGATAACACTAAAAAAAATAAATTATTAGCCACCCTCAAAATCTGGCTATCCAAATATGGTCATTCCCAAAGGGTTACAGATGGCCGGGTTAAAACCACTATTGGAGATCCCAGGATGTGAAGGACGGATGTTCCATCTACCATCGTACACAGTCTGAGCCACCTTCCGCGCTGTCCATAGAGATTCTACCTTCTCTCCCACAATCCCACATCTAGTCCTTTAATGAGCCAATGTGAACTATTCTGCAGTAATGGACAGGACAGGCAAAGACTGATGTGTTTCCACATGTCGATAGCGTCTTCATGCGGGAAACTACAGAACAATGGAGCCGTAAGACGCTTCCATGAATCAACTTTGCTTCAGTATGAGAGGAGTTTAATCAGGAACTAATTCCGAATGCGTAGATCCTGGAAATCATTGGGGCACCTAGTGACATCTGGACTTTTCAAACCTGCAAGTCATTTTTCCAAAACATGGGCAAAGATAATTGATACTTCATGTTCCTTGTTCTTATATCCCAGGAATGCACCCAGTGCGTATGTACATCTATACACAGATGCAGACGGTAAGGAGAATTTAATGTATGTTTGATTCCCTCAAAATGGAATAATCAAATGGTCAGAGGAGCTCGTGGTTTCCAAGAAGTGTCTTTAAGTCACCAAAGTTTCTAAAGGCTTTTTTGTTTGGATTTTGGAAGAGAAATTAAATAGAGAGTAAACAGATTTCAATATGCTATTTAGATGGGATGGCTGGTGTCTTGCTAATTATCTACAAAGCATAAAGAATGCTAATGTGACCTGGGCCCTACCTGTCCCCTATGAGGTTTTCCTTGGAAATTTCGTATGCCTTTTTTTCTCACTGCAGTCTTCCTCCTTTGCTACAGATTCCACAGTCTGCTATTCCTCACTAAATATGCAACAACCTGCTTGCAATTCTCTGGAAAAGGGCAAAGAAACCCCGGAGGAAGAACAGAACTTGGGTACAGAAACCGAGCAACCCCAGTGTGATCCAGAGAAGAGCAATTCGGACGATGTGCCCTGGAAGCTTCCGGCAACGGGTCCTCTTAGCTTCCTGGAGAAGCAGGCGTCATCCTGCCCGGTGGTGCTGTGCCCAGACGTTGTACCCTCTCCTCAGCACCCCGCAAGGAGCCTGTCTGAAAGGCACTGTGAGAGCCAGGGCTGGCTGCTCCAGTTTGACCGGCAAGCCCCAGGCCGAATTTCCACCTCTCCCACTCTGAGGAGGTTACGGGGCAGTGGCTGTGGGACGTTACACTCACTGCCTCAGCAAGAAGGCTTGCAGGTGCCCACCTGGGGAAGCTGGGGAGAGTCTGTAGGCTGCACACATTACCTGTCTAAGAGTCTGCCTGGACACCCAGAGGCTCCTCCACACTCCCTGTCGTCCTGGAGACTTCGCTCTAAACTTCCTTCAGACCCTGAACAGACCCTGGATACAGCTGACTCATTCAAGCTCCAGACCAGGCCCACTGACCAGTGCGTCCTTCCTGAACTTCAATCCACCGACAAGGAGTCTCTTCACCAGGCCTCTCTTCCGGGGCAAGAAGCCCACTCACCACCCAGACCCACGCTGCGGTGCCCTGGTCCTCAGGTGACAGAGCTCTCAGCCCCTGCCTCTCACTTAGGGGTCCACAAACCAAACTAGGTTTCTGGGGTTACCACGTGCCCCCAAAGGCCAAGATCCTGTGATAGGAGATGGTAAAGAAGTCACTACCAAGGGAACACATACTCTCAAAAAATTTTGGCTCTCAGGTTAAAAGGGTGTAGCAATTTAGGGAGGAGATAAAACAGAGGTCCAGCTCACTTTCTTCTAATCCTTGAAGGCACTTTAAGAAAGGGCCCACCTAGTAGTTCAGTGGTTAGAGTGTCAGCCCCATGCACCACGGTTGGCAGATTCAAACCTGGCCTGGGCCTTTTTAACAACAACAACAAAGGCCCACCAAAGGCCAGACTACCAAAGATGTGCCCGGCACTGGACCATGTTAATAGTGGCCTCTTGCAAACACGCTCCATATAAAGACAACCTGCTGGTAACTGGTTTAAAAGGGAGAGAAAAAGCCAATTATACAAATTTCTAATCCTTCCCTCCCCCCAAAACATCCAAAACATTTTAACTAGGAGAGTGAATTGTTTCTCCTTTCAAGATGTCTGCTTTAAAATTTGAGATGGGTTTGAGCAAAACTAACATGTATGTTTTTTTAATTTATTACAGGGAGAGGAATCACGTCCATCCAGGTATGTATGCAGCTGTTTTCTCCAGTGTTATGACATCTATTGGTGTTCATATTTATGTCTTTATTTCTGTGCTGACATAACAGATCTGATGGTGTATTGATCAGTGCACTTTGTCTTATAACACCCAAGTTGTTCTTCACATTTGTAGGTGAGACAGTCTTAGTTTCAAGAGTCTCCTTTAAGAACACAGCATCCTGGGGGCTAGGGTATGATAGTTGTCATGGCTTTCGATTTGAATTGTCAATGCCTTGGCCCTGTGGCTTAATTAACATCCACTGCGTAATAGGTTCTGTCTAGCAGAGAAAATGGAAAGGCCAGAAATATCTAACAGCTCTTCAAAGAAAAATTTAAAGGACAAGAATAAAAAGGAACGAGGTGTCCTGTTTAAATCTAGGGCGACTTTAAAAATGCCTGTTATGACAGACTGTGCCCTTATCTAGAATGAAGTGGACTGTGTGATTTCAGAAACCAGCTCTGAACTCTCGGGATGGCCCCCCAGGTAGAGACTGTGAATTTGCCATCCCTCCCATGTATGAATGGATCTTTTCCTTGGCAGCAAGGGAAAGATCCGTGCTCAAGTTCACCTCCCTCATTTGTGAGATTAACAGCAAGGTCCTCATTTCATTTTTTATTACTAGACCTCAATTGTCAAGCAATAGTCGGCTGTTCACAGTAGAAGGGACGATATCTACCTGTACATTCTAACCCTACTTAGCCTAAAAGTATGAACAAAGGTAGAAGGTTTTTACAAAGCCATGGAAAATGCAAATTACTGTGTTAGCGTATCAGTTAGCAAGTCATCCTAAAACCCTTAAATAACATCTTGTCATTGTGTCTTATCAATCTATGTGTTCCCTGGGAGTTGATCTAGGCTGGGCTCAGCTGAGAGTTTCTGATCCCCATGTCTCTCTCATCCTGCTTCTGGGACCAGAAGGCTCCTGCAATGGGCATGTTCTTCTTACAGTGAAGGGAGAGGCCCAAGAGGATAAGTGGAAACATACCAGGCCTCATGGAGCCTGGGCTCTATCTGGTCCAAGTTTCTTGGCCAGGCCAAGTCACTGGGTTGAATCAGAGTCAGGGAATTTTGTGTAACCAGCAGCAGAGAGGCGCACTGAAATGTTATGTGGCAAAGAGAGTGGACACAAGGATTAAGGAACAAGTGGGGGCCCTTAGCACAAATCGGCCATGGATACACAACAGAAGAAAGCTCTACAATCACAGCTAAATCAGATGGGTCCAGAGAAAGTGAGAGAGCATAGTTTCAAAGAAAGACAGTGACATTTGTTGGAATGAGATCACACAGGGAGTAACAGGATGTTTACAGATTTTGTTCTTTACCCTAAGAGCATGGAGAAAACATTAAACGGATTGATACAGTCAAGTGGATATAAGGCAACGGTTAAAACCTGTGGGTCATGACACTCTTTATAACAACGAAAATGCATTGCGGCATTAGGAAGGTCGAGAACCACTGATGTAAGGTATACACGGAATTTAGATGAGAGTGGACTTAAGTAAAATAATTAGAATCTTCTTTTTTATTTTTGGCCATTTTTGGCCGAGGCTGAGTTTGAACCCACCACCTGTGGCATATGGGGCCGGTATCCTACTCCTTTGAGCCACAGGCGCCACCCAATAATTAGAATCTTTAGGTATGAGAAGTTGGTGAGCTAATCTATGATGAAAGAGACAATGGAGTCAAAAGGAAGTGTCTCAGCACAAGAAATATTTAGGAGATGCAATAACCCAGACTTTGTGAATGGTAGATAGTAAGGGGTGAGGAAAGGAAATTGTCAAGAATGACCTCCAAGCTTCTGGCTTGTACAACTGGGTAGCCATTCGTTGACTTATGTAAACTTGGGAAAAGGAGGGAATTATGGGTGGATGGGGCGTAGGTCTTTACTTCAGGTGTGGACATATTGAGTTTATAATGGAGCATCTGACTGGATGTTCTGAGTAAGTAGTTGATTAGTTAAGGCATCAGGGATGAATACACTGTATATATGTGTGAGTATTTAATCAAAGAGTGTTTCCTAAGACCGGTAAACTCTGGGTCCAGCTTTGATTATTAAATGGGCCATCCGATACAAAGGCTAAAGCAATGGGATGCATCAGACCATCAGCAAAAGATGACACGGGGGTAATGTTCACTGGCGTGTGGGATCTTTGCGAGGAAAGAACAGAAAGAGTCTTGGTAATTTAAAAGAACAACTAGGACAAAGAGATAGAGGTTTAATGAAAGTGTGGAGTTCCATAATCTGTCATGGGATTAGTTTTAAGAAAGAAAAGACAGCTGTGGCATTCCACATGTCAAAATCACGTACTACAGTTGAAGATTACAAAAAGTGACATTAGAGGTGGGAGAGGAGGTGATTTGAATATCTTGTATCTAGCGATGACTTTGAATTACTCAATATGATCTCTTTAGGACCTAGCATAATTCATAACACACAGCAGGCGATGAATAAAGGAGAAATTAAGTAACAGAATCTATGAGCTAATATTTTAAGGAGACATTCTTACATTACTACTAATTGCAAGAAGTAAATAGATACTTCCCCTGCTACTCTGCTCCCTCCCTCTCCTCCTCCTCACTCTCTGCAGTCTGTGTTGCAGTAGCCATTCAAGGGAAGTGGGCGCATGAAATAGCTGTGTAATTTCATAATGTTAGGAAAAGAGCCCTGTGCGAGGCCTTAGCAAGAGCTCAAAAACATTATGCCTATTTCACTGTATAAGCCAGAAGTGAGCAAACCATGGTCCCATGGCCGAAATTCAGCCCACCGCCTGTTTCTGTAAACAAAGCTTATCAGAGCACACTGATGCCCATTCATTTGTACGTTGTCTGTGGCTGCTTGTACACTACTAGGGAAGAGTTGAGTCATCATAAGAGACTGCCGGACCCACAAAGCCCAAAGTATTTACTATCTTGCCCTTTACGGAGAAAGTTAGCTGAGCCTTGGTGTATGCAATTAAGTAATGATTGCCTGGGTGGCCACCAATCATAACCATCTTTTTTTGGCCTTGCAGAATAGATATAAATTTTTTTTCAAAAATATTGATTCTTCTTTTATTCTAATGTTTATTTAACACATGGCCTAACAACTGGGCAGGTTTGTGTAAGTGAGAAAAGGCTTAATACTCAGTTGTGAATCAGCTAAGTGGTAAACATTTGTTTCTAGGTTTTTCTTGGTGATCTTTTTTTGTTGTCATTTCCTCTTTTCCTCTGTAAGATTCAACTCAATTCACACTAACTCTGGACCTTCTCCCATCACCAAAATATGTCTCCGGGGGAAAAAAAATCTTTATAATTCATTCTTACTAAAGTGTGAAGGGCATTAGGCCTAAGGGATATAAACTCTCCTCTTCCCAAGTAGAACCAGTACATTCCTCCCTTTTGAGTTTCCTGAACCTTATAAAAGTCTCCATGGTACTATTTAAAACACTGTATTATGTTTCTTTTACCTTCATCCGCCTCCAGAATCAAAACCTTCCTGAAAGCAGAGGCCACTTCTTATTTATCTACGAACTTCCAGCTCCCAGTACTCAGCTAGAATCTACCTCCCAAAATATTTACTGAAAAAAAAGATGAAGGGAAGAAGGAAGACAGGCAGGCAGGTAGACTGCTTGGGTTACAGTGTCTCTTATCTATCCCCCTTGTATTTGCATTTTGACAAAGGACCTGGTTTGAAGCCAAACAGTGAAGCTGCATTAGTGGGATTTTAAACATCAGGGGACAAGTGGGGGAGATTTTATGTGTACGAGACCCTCCTGATACCCCTTCAGTTTTGTTTTTACCAAAAGCTGTCCGTGCCGCTTAATTTTCAGATCAGCCCTGACACTGAGAAGGGAAACTTACATACCACTGTTCTATGAGAACATAGACTGAATTTCCAGGGCTCAGACAGAAATAGGAAAACATTTGAATATATCCAAATAAGCAAGTGGGAGCACCATTAGCCTGATGTTCAAATGATGAGATATTTGAAGGTTTATCCTGTGAGGAGAAAAACAGACAAAAATACTAATCCCAGTAAAACTTCCCCCAAAGTCAGAGTCACCTGGGGTTGCTGTCAGGCGGCAGCATAAGGTGAAGTTAAAAGCTATTGGTGCCTGTAATCCTACCACTCTGGGAGGCCGAGGTGGGTGAATTGCCCTGGCTCACAGGTTCCAGATCAGCCTGAGCAAGAGTGAGACCCTGTCTCTAAAAATAACCAGGCATTGTGGCAGGTGCCTATAGTCCCAGCTACTCAGGAGACTGAGGCAAGAGAACCACATGAGCCCAAGAATTTGAGGTTGCTGTGAACTGTGATGCCACAGCACTCTACTGAGGGTGACAAAGTGAGACTCTGTCTTAAAAAACAGCTTTTGGAGTCTGACTGCCTGAGTTCGAATCCCATCTCCATTTCTCTTGGGTGACGTGATCTTGGGCAAGTTCTTTATAATAGCTCCAAACTTCAGAGTCTTCATCTCTGAAGTGGAGCAGCTAATACAGTCATGGGCTGCATACTGACATTAGGTCAACAACCTGTGCATGGAGCATGGTCCCATGTGATTATAATATTGTATTTTACTTTGGCTTGGTGCCTGTAGCTCAAGCAGCTAAGGCCCATCCAGAGCTGGTGGGTTCGAATCCAGGCTGGGCCTGCCAAACAACAATGACAACTACACCCAAAAAATAGCTGGGCATTGTGGCAGGCATCTATAGTCCCAGCTACTTGGGAGGCTGAAGCAAGAGAATCACTTAAGCCCAGGAGCTGGAGGTTGCTGTGAGCTGTGACACACTCTATTCAGGGTAACAGCTTGAGGCTCTGTCTCAAAAAAAAAAAAAAAAATTGTATTTTACTGTGTCTTTTGTATGTTTAGATATCTTATTCTCTTTCTTTATTTCTTTTCTTCCTTTTTTTTTTTTTTTTGAGACAGGAGTCTCACTCTTTTGCTCTGGGTAGAGTGCCTTGGCATCATAGTTCACAGCAACCTCAAACTCTTAAGCTCAAGTGATCCTCCTGCCTCAGCCTCCTGAGTAGCTGTTACTATAGGCACCTGCCACAACACCTGGATATTTTTTCTATTTTTAGTAGAGACAGAGTCTTGCTCTTGCCC